CAAGGTGTGGGCTGATTAGTTCAGTGTAACGCAGCCCGGTGCAAAACCACCACCCAGTGTGACGTCAGTAGTTAGCCTGCCTTTCATAAGCAACACTAAAACTCCATTGACGGACACTGTCATGGTGCAGTTTGCAGATTTTTACCTAAAAGTAAATGAAGTTGGTTGAGTACCTCCTGTACTAAACCAGCAAATGTTGAAAGTCAATATTAGTATGCAAAATATATTCAAATCATGCAGTTCAACGCCCAAACTAACATAAACGGACGTCTTATGTCAATATATCTGTGCAGAAATACCCATGTGAATGTTTATATGTCAATGGCTGAGCTGGAACTCCATCTCTGCAGTGTTTTAGCTAAACTACAGTATAAACAGCCCATTTGATGTTACTTAAATGTCAGCAGGAGGGTATTTGCTCTTATCTAAAACTAAAAACTGTGTAGATTTGCTATGTTAAAAATACGGTTTCCACATTTGGAACAAAAGCCATCTCAGTCAGGACAACTTCAGCGCAGTGATCTTTTATTTTACGGTATTGTTGTGGAAGGCCCGAAGCAGGGAGAGCAGCAACGAAGACCTCCCAGGCTGCAGAAAAACAGCAGACAGCAGTGACAACAGACATGGTATCGATTAAGTCTCGCACAGCATGAGGAGGAGGAGCTGTGGTTGAGGCAGGTTGCTTGTAGGGGAAGGCGGGTGGAAGTAACTCCAACAGCGTGCCTTGTATGAAGTCGGCCCATTGGATGCATCGAGGGAAGTCACCTCTGTCACCTGGCTCAATCCAGGTACTTGGTGGTAGGCTCAGTCCTCCTCAGCCAGTGTTGCACTAATTTCGTCAGAGATGTTCCGTCGCTCTGATTTCTGCAGCCTTCTTTGGATTATTATCATGCACACATGTTTCTCTTCCGCTGAGCATCTGCAGACTAGCAGTCATCTTGCCAGCCAGTACTGTGGTATGTCCACAGGCGTTCATAGCCCCATCTATAAATGTCATCTTCCAGCATGCTTTGCACCCACGCTGCCTCGCATCAGCACGCTTCACTGTCAGGAGCATGCATTCACTGTGGTAGTTCTGGCCTGGTTCCCTGCTCTGATCTGGCCAAAGTATGTGTTCTCAATATTCATTATGGTTCTTTTCATGTTCTTCAGCAACATTTCTATTTACGGTTGTGTGTTGAAGAGCAGGCAAAGGTTTTATTGTCAGACGCCGTCCATAGAGGCTGACATATGATCCTGTCTACGTTTTAGAGCTAGACTGTGCGAGGACAGCACGATCCGTGGCGTCACTTTAAGTGGAGTGCCACTGCAGCACTAGTTAGTGGTACTATGGCTTGTTGGAGCTGTGTTTAGTGGTCTAACGATTCCATCTTCGTGAAGTCTCACAATAACATTTTTCCAATCCTCAAGTAGTTGTTTTCCTTGTGATAGGGAGACGCAACACACAGGTCCAAAATGTAAACGTCATGGTGTTCACGGGTCATTTCGTGACTGTGTTCATACAGTTAGACCAGTTGGAAATCACAGGTTTGCTAGGTTTTGTCTTAATGGTCAGAGTTTTTCCAGCTTGTGTGTCAGTGGCCACAGGTGTCGTCACTTTTTTGGATCTGCATCTTCAATATAATCTTTTTTATGTACTTGTTTTTGATTGTTCAGAAAAATAAATACTTGCAAACTTAGAAATATTGTAATTTTTTTAGAGGGGAGACAGTTTTAATCATTTCACATTGAGGTGGTGTTGCACAGAGGTGGTGTCCTCACATCTGCTGTGTACTGTAAAAAAACAACATCCTTTTAGTATCCTGACATTCCTTCTCTCTATATGCATGAAACTGATATAGCCTCGTTATTTTGTGAGATTTCCATCCTGTCCAGCCTCCAGTAACATCAATTTTAGTTTTGGAATTTAAAACTTGACAGCTATAGTGTGAACATCTGGTGAAAAGGGACATAACAAACACTGTGGCCAGATAAGCTCTATTTCTTTCAAATACATATTTATTAGTATTAACAGCATGTTTTGAATAGAAGGAAACACTTCAGTAGCTGAGCAGAAACCAGGGTTTTCTTTGGACTTGAACTTTTCAGCTCCTTTTATCCAGACGACCTTCAGTCTGTTCAGCTCCAGTGGTTTTGCATTTTGCCAAAGATCTTGGCTCAGTGTGTCGTTATGTCTGATTCCAGCAGATCTCCCATTGGTAATGCACCTCATTCATGCATTCATGCATTCATGCATTCATCCATCCATCTGTTTTTTTGTGTGTTTGTTTGTTTGGTTTGGGGTTTTTCTTCCTGCTTTTGTGTGGCTGGGTTCGTAGTTATAACAGTCAAAGCAACATAGTCCAGATGTTCCGGTCCCTAATGGCTTCCAGCGCTTCCTGGGGAATCCCTCCCGAGCTGGATGAGTTATGTAATCCCTCCAGGGTGTTCTGCTTCAACCTCAGGTCCTCCTGCCTACATGCATGAAAACCTCCAAAGGAAGACACCAAGCGGAGGTCCTAGTCTGGTGGCAGACCCTCAGGGGGCGGCGGCCGTAATCCAAGTGACCATTAATCATGCTTTCTGGATTAATCACCCTCAGGCCTGTTTGAGCTTTTTAATGAGAACTTCACAGAAAGCAACGTCTAATAAGAACTATCGTGGCACCGACGCATCTCCATCATCTCACCAGTTCAACATCTTCAGAGCATTTTGAAACTATCGTCATGCCTGCAGAAACAAAATACACACACATGTGCCTGTCATGCCACACGTGTCTGAACACATCCTCCCAAGCATTTATGTATGAGTTCATATTTTTACTTGTTTTATTATCTTTTTTTTAACAGTTATTTTTTTTTCGGTTACATTTGTTCCTGGTCTGTGTTGCACTGTTGTGTTTTAATGGTCATTTCATTTATACGTTTGCTACCTTTGCATATATTCCCAATTTCCATTTTACATGGGGTTCCTTTTCTTAGAACAAACTTCATGTCTGCATGTCAAAAATCTTTGGAACACAGCTAAAGACAAAAGGACACAACTGTTGTTATACTCTTTTCTCACTTAACACATGACCTCATCAGATGTTGTGTACTCATAAGGCAGAGCATTTTATTGCATCACCTCCAATTTTAGTTTAAAATGAAAATACTAAAATTGACAAAGCCATTGTTTGATAGCTTGGAGAAATCAGGTGGATATTCACATAAGTCACATGATGAGTGATTCAATATTACTTCTTTGTGAGACCACCAAAGCAGGAAATATTTGTGTGCTGCATGTTTTTTAGCAGCTGCATCCAAGATAATTATCATCTCATTATCTACAAGGAGACAATTACCAGACACCAGCCTGCAGGCCACAGCACTGTTAAAGCCAGTGGTGATATTATTTGTAGCACCAACGTACAAGAAAAAGAAGTCAAACAGGGAGGAGCTTCATGGCAAAGTAGAGCACACACAAACATGAGGAACTAGTTGTTTTTTCAACAGACCTCCACCTGGCGTTTGTTAGGGGGGGTTTAGTGGATGGCGGCACACGTTGGAACAATTTAGAAGGAGCAGGAGTCGTTACTGTAATCCTGCTTCCAAAATTCCAAGCAAACGCACGGCTGATGTGATGCTGAGTGAAGGCGGTTTCAGAGACGTGTAGGTGAAACCGAGCCAAACATTCAGGTGTTTACCGTCCTTTGACAACTTTATCTCACCAAGATGAACTCTTACCTTTAATGGTCTCTGACAGAGAACATGATCCTGAAAAAAAAGAAGAATCAAGCACATTTAAACAGATGTGGAAAGCAGCTCATTGAAGTCATAATGAGGCGTGTTTTAGTTTCCTGTAAATGTTACTGAGTTAATCACATTAGTCTCGACTGTAATGTGTATTAAGTGGATTAGCATTCACTCCGGTTTGCCAGAGGAGGAATTCTAGTAATATGGGAGATCTTTTACATTTTAGCGAGTGCCATTATCAGGTCAAAATGTTACGTGTGTACTTATTCACGATCAAAAATCTCCAAACCTCAACGCATTCCCACAGTCTCAGCGGTCCTTTGGGGCTACATTAAACTAATTAGAAATGTTTGCATGTTAGCAGACTTGTAATGAAGTTTGGCAGCGTTGGCTATGTTGTGATTAAAGTGCTGATAATATTAATACGTGATCAAACCTTGTGCAAAGATCACTGATTTAGAAAAAGTAAATACAGTCGTGACTCAATAATCCGACCCTTAGCAATCCAACAACCTGCTATCTGACAGGTTTTTAGGAAAAACCAACAGAACCCATAAAAACAGTCTTAACATAGCGACAGCCTTGGATTGTGACTCCGACATGACATTTAATGTCACCAATCAGGATGACGGCGTATTATCTGACTGAACAATCCCACAGATTGGCTACGTTCACACTGCAGGACTTGATGCTCAATGAGGATTTCTTTGTGACTTCCTTCACGTTTCCAGTTCAATGCGACTTGTATGTGATCTGCTGTGTGAACTTCATACGACCCAAAAGTGTCCCGCATGCGCAGAAGAGGACAGTGAACACCGATGGTTGTGGCAGCGGTGGCGAAAGTGTGACCGCTATCCTAAACTAGCATCAGCAGCCAAGTACTGCCTGTGCGTTCCGGCCACTTCCACCCTGTTGGAGCGCTGCGCCGGGGTGGAAGTGTCCCCCGACCAGGACGAATATTCTGATATTCATCATTAATTGGGCCTGAATATCCAGAGACCAGAAAGTGCTATTGGGACCAGCCCTACTAGTTATTATAACAATTCTGAACAATGAATATTAACAACAAATGATCCTTCCAGCATCAAGCCCTCCTTGTATCTCAACCTCCGTCTTGACAATCCGACAGCCTTGATATCCCACATAAAAGAAGGTTTTACATTTAGTGTCGGATTATCGAGTCACCACTGTATATATATATGTTGTGTTTTTGAATTTGTTCTGTGATAACTGAGCTGCTGACAAACTCTATAACGCAGCATCCGTTGCTGTTTCTTTTTGTTCCAGAGAAAGATGCAGGCCTCGATGCTGCTCGGCTGCTTCGTCCTCGCTGCGACTAAATACTTCCTCGTCTCTGCCCACATGATCCCTGATGAGACTCAGTACGCCAATAAGGTCATGGCTGTAACTACCACTTTGTCTCAGAACCTGGAAGCAGCCTCGCCCCCTGTTGTTATTGTCGGTAGGTTCACATCGATGAACTGTTGTATTTACACCATATTTTGCAAACCGAGGTCCTCGATATCAACTCAGTGCCGTTCATCATCATGCTTGTTGACGTTTATCTTTATTTTCAAAACTGTTCTCTTTCAGAACTACCGAAAGCAACAAAGAAGAACAAGAAAAAGAAACCAAAAAAGGTTGGTCTGATATTTTTTTGCAACCCTGTTTCTCAAAAATCATGTTCCTACACGACTAATCACAACTGGGTTTTGAGAGGAACCCATTGTCTCTTAGTCTACAATTGTTGATGCCACAAATATGTTTCGCATCAAGATATCTTTGTCAACCTGTCATATCATAAATTTGACAAGACTTGTCACCCTGGTAGCACAGAGAATTAAGGAGAAGCTTCAAGCATGTGGTGAAAGGGTCGTATTTTAACCCAAACCATGCTGTTTTCCTAAAACGAACCACGTAGTTTTGGTGTCTAAATCCAACCAAACACGTGGGTTCTATAATAAAGGTCCCATATGGGGTTCCTTTTCAGAAAATTATTGAAAGTTTCATTTCCCCCAGTTGTGTCCTTTGAGTTAGTACGCTACATCGATGTAAGAAGCAAATTATATAAGTATTTTTTAAAATATATATATATATGTACATACATTCATGGGGCTGCACGGTGGCTCGGTGGTTAGCGCCGTCGTCTCACAGCTGGAAAATCCCCGGTTAGGACGCCTGGGATCTCTCTACATTGAGTTTGCATGTTCTCCCCGTGCAGCGTGGGTTCTCTCCGGGTTCTCCGGCTTCCTCCCACAAGGTCCAAAAACAAGCTGAAACTAGAAGCCTTCTCCTGTTACGTCACCGTTGTACTTCTTTCGAAACCAAATCATGTTTCTTTCAAAGTGTAAACAAGAGTTCGGTTAGTTGTGTGGGAACGTCATTTTTGGGAGACAGCGCTGTTTGCTGTCAGTCTTTCTAGTGATGTTATTGAAGCTCACGCAGCAGGCGAGCACGTTCCAAACATCCATGCTCTTTTCACATATCGCTGTTCTCTATGAATCTGAAGTGTATCGTAAAGCACATTTCTGTGATAACATGTATTATTTGACTCTTCTCTCGCTCTCTCCATCTGTCTCTCAGAACAAATTCGGTGCAAAGAAGCGCCCTCCTCCTCCTGCTAACTGCGTCGCACTCTGGCAAAGCTGTAAATCTCCGGGCAATGTGTGCTGTGATTACTGCGCTCACTGCCAGTGTCGCCTCTTCAGAACTGTGTGTTACTGCCGAATGGGCAACCCCCGCTGCTGAAACACCAGCTCCAGCTCACCAGAACCACCCTTCATGTTCAGCCAAACCACAAGCAGGGAGCACCGTGAGAGGTGTATCAGGCCTCAGCTGTGATTCGTTACTTCCCTTAGATTCACTGCATGGAAGCACTTTATCGGAGGGGACTGCAAAGCAGTGAACTTTCTGAACACCTCGCGCTTTTAAAACAAGTTTATTTCCCTTTGCGCTTTTAGCACAGATAAACAGAATGTATTTGCTCAAACAATTTGATATATTGCCTTATTTTTACACAAATACACGACTGTGCAAATTCATATTTTACATACAGCAAGTATTCAAAATTTGGTAAAGCATTATAAGAATAAAATGCTTGCACTCTGTCTTATATGTTCTTGTGGTGTTCATTGTGGAGTCAACAGGCAGCATTTAGATACCTGAAAGCTGGGGTAGGTGGGATTCTTGAGAAGGCAAAAAAATAAAATAAAATAAATAAATGTAAGCCCCTGAACCTAAAGAACCTCAACAAAATTACTTTCCTGTACAACTAAACCTTCTTCCCAGTTATGATTTGAGGGGAATGTAGTTTTATCTGTGTTTGGAGGTCGGAGGCGAATGAGGAATTTACGTTCTGTGATGACGACAGACCGGATCGGTCTCAGACTTTTTCTCTTGTTGTTTACTTTACTTTAGCTAGGACTTCTACTAGAGGTTATAAACAGGCCACCTTAAGCTGCATTACCAACATAAAAGTTTACCTTACCTCTGCTATTTATACCAATAATGGCAATAAAACTAGTGTCCCTCACGATGCTGAAACACAAAGACACTAGTGGCACATTGAGGACAGAGGTTGCCGCTGAATGACGGGCTGGCAGCACCTTTAAATACATGTGGAGGACTACATTTAAGGTCTACATTGCAGGTTCTAGTCCATTCTGTGATCGAATGAGTGGAGGAGCAAACTTGCATTCAAAGTGGAAAGGTTTGCTCCCACAGAAGGAAGAAGGAGTCATCTGTTTCACCCCAACATCCTACTGTCACTGCAGAGTTTGTTGCTGTTACTTACCTGCTCTGGCTGAAAACACCTGATTGGTCCTCCATCAGAGGCTAGATTTTCTAAATCCAGATAGCTGAGCCAAGAGGAGGTGCATAAGTCCAAGTTCCTCCGAGACCACTTGAATTACAATATGTTAAATACTGACGCCATTGATGCCAAAAAATAAAAAAAAATAAATAAAAAATGTACTGCCTACCCCAGCTTTAATCTTATCTGTTTTCTGGTCTCAGGATTTCCTAAACCATCAGGGTACCATGTTTGCATGCATGAATTATTCAACCGGACAAGATGGCTTAATTATTGGGGAGTATTTTTAGTGGTGAAAAAATACAGAATTGGTGTTTCAGTGGTGGTGGGTGTTACTGGGATTGGCTCAAACAATGGATGCAGTCAGATAGTCTTTTATTTGCTTTCCTAATGGTTCAGGTCCACGGGGATGTTTCTGGAGACAAGGGTCTCGCTGCCTCTCAACATCGGACACATGACGATGGCGCGACTCGTCAGATGAAAGATGCTCTGTGTGTCCCTGAACTTTACTTGTGAGCTGTGCGCCAACATGGTGGCTTGTTTTCAACTCATATTACGAAACCAAAATGTACAACTGAGAACTTTTGAGGCAATAAATAAGCCACACAGCTGCAGAGTATGTCTTCATTTTAGAGAGTTTAAATGTTTTTTGTTTTTTTCAGGAGGTTCCACCCGCTTTGTAAAAAGCAGTTTGCACATAATGTTCTGCAGCCAGAATGCATTGTACATCTGCTTACATAGACAATAAACAGGAACACTGTATATGTAGTAAAAAAAAGAAAAAGAAAAAGATGATAAATACTGCAGTGAAATGATTCGTAGCAGCTGGTCAAATTCTCTAAATGCTAAGATGCATCTTTTTCTATGTCTTTTAAATGAACCATCCTTTATGAAGAGAAAGGAGACAACACTGTGTCGCATTTCCCATAAACGACAGATCAAGGCAGACGCACGTCAACAACATCCAGCGTCACAACATGACTCAGCCTGGTGTCATTTGTCTTTTATGTCCTCATGAATTCTTCTTCATATCCTAACCTCATGATGGTTTTCATTAAAGTCAAGGGAAAAAAAAACCAGTTTGTTTTAAATAATCTTTAGCCAATAGAGCTCAGTGGTGCAGTGGAATAGAGGTGTTACCATGTTGGTGGATTTCCCTTGTGCCTCTCATGAAGGAACAACAGCTGGATGTTCGTCTTGTAAAATCGCACGTCATTCAGCTTAATTAGGCCAAAAGTTAGAACAAAGTGAACAATGCAGATGTTTCTGTCTACCTGCCTACCTGCCAATCATTTATTATCTTGTTTAATCTGTACTTTTTTTTTTCTATTCTCACCATCTGTCTGTTGTTACTGTGGAAAATAAATTAATCTCTCTTCCATCGGTTTTAAATCACTGCCTGACTCTCCGGCAGGTAGCCAACCCATGATCCAGGACCCTCGATATTCCAGTAAGCCACTGATGCATCATGATGAACACATGCATTTCCACATTCCCGCAGAATATCAGTAATATAGAAAAAGCCTGTAAATGATTTATTACTTAGTGGAGTGTTGAACGCTTGGATGATTGTCAGATTGAACTGGAAGGCGAAACGAAGCCTCTCATCCCCGAACAACCACCAACAAAGTGGCGTTGATCCAAGGCTCTTCCTGCAGCTGCTCGTTGGCCGACAGCTTCGCCGGTAATTTCGGCACCCGGTTTTCGTTTGGGTTCGCTCTTTGGTCTTTTGATGAAAACGTGCTAATTAGCCTTTGATGAGAGCGTCGCAGTAATTCACGATGACTTTTACGATCTGTTTTGGTGGTTTGTCACAACAGTTTTGTTGTTGCTCCTCACTGCATTTTATGTGGAATTGTAGGTAGGCCAGAAATGCTTTATGTTCTCCTTCCAAGCACTAAATGGAGACATAAAGTGCAGCAAGTGATAATTACAAGATGCTGATCTTTAGACATGTTTGTCATTTTATAGTTTTCATTCGTTGCACATCTGGGACATATTTGGTTGTAATTTTCATTTTCAGTGGATACTTTAAAGTTTTGCTTTTGTTACAGAAAAAATAAAAGGTGACCAGAATGAGCATTTATAATATTGTTTCTACATAACAATAGTTTTTGCTGACAATGTTGATGCTACTTGACATTAAGTCTTTTATATTTATTCAGTTCCGGTAAAACAAACACACAAAAATAATTTTCCAGAAGGAGGCATAGAAGCACACAAACAGGACAGATACATGAAGAAAAACTGTGGCCACATGACAAAGACAGTAAAGTGACAACACATGACAACAGCAGTCATCAACGAGAAGATATGACTAAACTTTATTAATCCCGAAGGAAATTGTCCACCTTACCGGGAAAAGCCAAAAACAAACAAACAACTAAAAAAACCCTCTCTTCCAGAACCAGGCTCATGGAACGTAGCGGATGGCGAACAGATGAATAATACATAAGAGACCAATAGGATCCTGAGCAGCTGTGACTGTGAGCTTTATCTCAAAGGAAAGTTTTTATAAGCAGCTGAAGTAAGTGTTGGGGTAAGTTATTCCTCACAGACGGAGGAAGAGTTGGCCGGGAACTGGAATTTAATAAATGAACAGCCTCATATTTGAAGGTTTGTCCTCGCTGCAGGGCAGCACAGGCGCCAGCCAGAGGACAGCCATTCCAAAATTCTCTTTGTGACCTCTTAAGGAATTTGAATTACAAAATAAAACAGGAAATAGACACAACAAAAACCAAAACCATGACAAAGAGTAAAGAATGGGGCTTTATCAACCCCCGCTCGGCGGTTCTGGAGCCTCATGTGGCTCTTTCATCCCTCTGCTGTGGCTCCTTGTGGCTTTGGAAAATAAATAATGAGTATTTAATTTATTTCTTTATTTTTTTCGTTTTGGTTCGTTAGTTTAAGATTGTAGTGATCTTGTAACATTAAAATAAAACTTGTTTAACTTTTTGTCGCTCAAAATATGCGTCACAACCACCGATGTGCAACATCCGCGGCACACACAGCGTTGCCAACTTGGTGACTTTCTTGCTAAATCTGGCGACTTTCCAAATCTTCTTGGCGACTTTTTTTTTGTCAGTAGCAACCAGCGACAAATCTTTCTGGTGTTACTGGAGACTTTTCTGGTGTTATGGAGATTCTGACGTGAAAACATGTATCGTTCTGCAGTCACTGTCCTCAGCGAGCAGCGGTGCTTCCGTGAGCTCCTCCCGTCCCAAAGCGCTCACAGGTGGTCAGCAGTCTGGTCAGCAGTCCCAGCTGCAGTCAGCAGGA